GGGAAAGAGGGGTGAAAATATCTAAGTATGAAGGAAGAGAACAAGAAGAAAGCTGATGTTGTCCCTAACCACCTCTAGGTAAAGACTGGGAGCATATGGAGGAAACATTTGTGGCCTCATCAACAGGGGAAGGAACGGAGGTGATTGACATGGTGCAGCATGAGGATTCACAGAGACTGAGGAATTCAGCAGTGAAGGACCTGGTGTTGGATCTGGCTCTTGCCCTGAGCACTGGCAGCATTGTGCTCTTCTTTTTATGTGTGACATAAAGCATGAAATATTTGCTATGGTCATTGATGATAACAATTTGAGCATCTACCTGTGTTTTATGATCAGCTATTATATGACTTCTCTTCACCAATCATATCCCAGGGAACTTGGAACACTGAGAAAAGGGCTGGGATCTTGTATAGTTGTTGCGAGTGTTTCCTCCTCTCCTTGAGAAACACAATAAATTCTCAGTCCAAGGTGAATGCTTTTTTTTTCCCCTAAGCTAGACGTCCCTTCTTACACTTTCCATATTTTCTTTGCGTAAAAACATCATAGTAATAAACAAGAATTGATCCAACTCACTGGCTTCAAGGTGACCTCATCTTTAAAACAAAATATTCATAAATTTATCACAGATAGCAAGAACAAGAAAAAATTGCATATTTCAGGGACCTGTCCCCCCCATGCACAAGATAGATAGATACAAGAAAAGTTGAAGACTCCTCAAAATGCAGACTCAAAATGAAGACTCCTCAAAATGGAGACCATCAATTGCTTTTGCTTTTTCTATACATAATAAACAAAGAAGCCAAGTAGTCTCAGCACACTGAAATAACTTCTATATTACACACAAGGTCTGGTACAATGTTAATTGCTATTAATCTAAAACATAGTCTGGACATGTTGCTAGGACAGAAGTCATTAAATGAGTGGAGGAAGAGCACACACTGTTTAAGGAGTAAAAATAAGCACAAGCTCAATTTGTTATTTTTTATGATGCAAATGTGTAAAATTAATTCTAGGTATTATTATTTATTACTTTTGAGGTTCAGCTATGAACTCCAGTCATGCTGGGCACAGTACAGATACAGAACATAGAAACAGGCCTGGACATAAAGAGTTTGCAATCCAAACGACCTTTTTCACTGAAGCAAACACTTTACAAATATTTTAGTTAACTAATGAAAACAAAATCTCCGAAAAGTCTGTTCTTGGAGAACATTTACCTGCATTAGTCAGTACTGGAAAGGAATAATGGAGTAACTAGGATTTCAAAAATTCATACAATGTTTACATTGAAAAGGGATATTGCCACTTGCTATCACCTGTTCTACAAAGAATCCTGAGGTAGCCAGTTTAATAAGTAAAATCAAAATCCTCCCATAATCAAGAAACTTTGAAGAACATGCAAACGGTAACTGTATTTTTTATAGTTACCAACTTTGGTAAATTCTAGACCTTAGGTCTATATTTTCTAATCATCAGAACCTGAACTTGATGCAATTATTAGGTTTCTCATGCTTTTAAGCATGTCTCTTGCTACCCTAAAATCATTACTTTTTGCTCTCTTTTCCTTTAAAGTAAATTAATACATAAAATTAAATTTCAAGTAGAAAGTAAAACCCTACAGCAACTCTACTCCTCTGTTTGGATGCTATATATTTACAAACGTAGGGATGAGAGAACCAGGTTCAGGATCCAGAGTTGTTCTTGGAATTCCAATTGTTCAGTATTCAGAGACTTCTAAAACCCCTGGTAACTGTTCCTCCACCCTCAACCATATTTTCAACTCTAAACATAGATTAAAAAAAATGAATCCTGTTGGAGAAGAAAGAAGAAAGAGAAACTCTTCCCAGCTCCCAGTCCTACTCCCTGTAATGGGGATGCTTTCCTCTTCCCTCTTTTGTCCCTTAGGAGTTTTGCTGATGAAACAGAGAGAACAGGGAAGGTCTTCAGCAACCTTCATTACTAGGTGACTTATCTTTCAGCCTAGAGTCTAGAGCCTTGAGTCCTTCCTAGTTCCTTTCCCCATTTATTGGCAGAAGAAGAGAAGAGGATTCTTCTCTGGTAATCTACATGTGTGGTTTGCCACGTATGTGTCTGAGTTACCAGCTGGGCTTAAACCACGACACACAGTAACCCATAGGATTTCCCTAACAGCAAATCTTATGTGAACAAGTCTTAGAGCTCCAGCTTATTGCCCTGCCCATTCAACATGACTGTGAGGTTGCAAGAATAGGCAGGGAAATGCACTGAACAGAGGGACTAATAATCATAGAATCATAGAATCATAGATTAGTTAGGGTTGGAAAGGACCTTAAGACCATCTAGTTCCAACCCCCCTGCCATGAGCAGGGACACCCCGTATGAAGACAGGCTGAGAAAGCTGGGGCTGTTCAGCCTGGAGAAGAGAAGGCTGTGTGGAGACCTCAGAGAAGCCTTAAAATATCTGAAGGGGGCCTACAAGGATGCTGGGGATGGACTATTCATTAGGGACTCTAGTGGTAGGACAAGGGGTAATGGCTTTAAACTTAAACAGGGGAAGTTTAGGTTAGATATAAGGAAGAAGTTCTTCACAGTGAGGGTGGTGAGGCACTGGAATAGGTTGCCCAAGGAAGTTGTGAATGCTCCAACCCTGGAGGTGTTCAGTGTAACAGTCCTTCTATTTACAATGACTCAGAAGTTGTTGTCTACCAGGTAGTCATCTTGCTACCTTAGGACTTGCTAAACTTTAATGTTGTCACATCCAGGACAGAGTGCTGAGAGCAGTAGAAGACCCTCTTCTCTTTTGAGCCTGGTTTAATAATTTTGTTACAGTCAACTGCTGAGAAAAAGATAACAAGAAAAGGTAGGTAGAAGAGTGAATAAGAGCACCACATCACCCAAGGGACCTTGAGAAGATGGTCATACTTTTATGGGTCAGGCCTGCGGTCATACCTCTCTTCCTCTTTTTCCATGCAGATCACCAGATGTGGCATTTCTTGTCTGGGTTCATTGGGGATCCACTGGAACAGTGGAAGTGCTTGGCAAAGTCCTGGCTATTGCTGACAGGCCCACAGACACGAAGCGGCAGAGGACTGTGTGGGTCTGTGTTCAGGGAAGACTGTAATTTCTCAGGATCCTGGTGTCCACACATTGCCTGAAAGGAAGTAAACCAGGAAAGTCAATCTGGCTGAAAGTCCTCATATGAACAAGACTTTAGGCTCCTCATGCCCCTGTACATTTGACTGAGACTGCTGGAGTAAATAAGGAAACACACATGGGTGCCAACTATGTTCAGTTCTTTCCCTCCACCACCACAATTTCTGACTCTTTTCCCTTTCCCTAAGCCTCCCTGACCCTATTTCCCTATCTGACAAGCCATCTGCTCTTTTTCTATACTGCATAGTACAGAACACCACCTTGGAGTTTAGGCTCATGGAACCTTGAACTCCACCTAAAATAATGGTGTAGATGTAGTCTCAGTATCTAGATTTACATTCTTAAGCAAAAGCAATGAGTGCTAATAATCCTTAGACAACATCCCATTACTACTTGAAAGATTGAGTGGAAGGTTATGTGACTTTACTGGTGTTAAACTAGCAATCTAAGTCTTCACTTTCATGTTTTCAGCTTTTATTCATTGACAAATGATGCAATAGCTGTCAGACAGCCTCTGAAATGGAAAACTTGCCACCAAAACCCAGTAACCTGTGGTTTCAGAACTGCTTTTCTACACTCTGCTCTGAACTAATGTCAATACGTGCACAAAACCTTTTCCTTTGCACAATTACAGTGACTTATAAGAGTGTGACTTTTCTGAGTAGAGAAATCCAATAATCTATCATGAGGAAATCAACTGCACAACAATGACAATGGTACAAATTTTCACAAATCATTAAACCAGGTTCCCACAGAAATCTTCAACAATGTGTATATGTACTACTAGTTCTTTATCTCTAATTAGCATTCAAAACTCTTTTTTTCACTCTCAGTTGCTCAGAATGGTATGATCTCTAGTTATTCACCATGAGAGGGAAGTGGTTGAAGGAAGGCATGGAAAGATATGCACCTTTTCCAGTAAAATTCCTCTTTCCATATTCAAGATTGCTCACAACAGTAAAAAAGTACTTAGAAGCTGGCAATGAAACATATTTTCACTGACACAACTTGTCTGCTACAACTTAATTTTGGTAGATTTCAGAGCTCTGGAAAAGATATATTTGCAGACAGGTCTTTTGTTTGCTTTGAGATCCATAACAGGTTACGTGCCCTATACGTGAATTTGAGTTTTCTTTACTCTTGGAAACATTGGCCATTCCCAGTTCTGGGAAGAGGCGGGAAAAATGGTTGAATATTGAGAAAGACAAACTGTAATAACGTGAAAGACAATGGAGAGTGAGAGAGACACAAGTAGCCTAAAATTCATTACATGAGCAAAACTGAGGTAGAAAAGCTGGTCATGTGAAAGTCCAATCTTAGGTAAATCCTTCTCTTCTTTGTGCTTTTTCAGCCAATTCCTATAGGCCTGTGGAGAGAGAAAATTAATAAATCTCCCTTCAGATAGTGTCCCAAACCCATGTCTTCTTTCAATGAAATATATAAATCTAGTTTATATTTAATAAATTAGCAAGTTTGTATCTCTCTCTCTTCATTCTGAGAGTCCCTGCTGCTGACCATGCCCCTAAAAACTCCAAGATGGGAGAAGAACAACATAACTCCACTGCTTCCCATTTCAGACTGTACTACACACACATCCTTTTAAGAGATGTGGTGACTGCACTATAAAAGAATGAAAAGTACTATCAAAGCAAGTCACAAATATTTGAATAAAAATTAAAATAAGTTCCACTTCTCAACTTTCTCCATGCAAGAATATAGCAAGTACCATCTGAGACCTAGAGATCTCAGAGCACCCTGCACTCAGTAATTGATTAAACTGCTAAACCACTGCGTAAGGAAATAAAAAATTCTGCCTAGACTCAAGTATTGCTGAAAACATCATTATAGAGCCATTTTACCACCAGTCATAATTCTGGGTCATGTTTCAGCTTAGTTCCTTAGGTATAACATAAACATATAAACAGTAACATGCTTTTGGATGAATGATATAAATGGGGAAGAAAGGCTCACCCCAGAACTGGTGAAGGGGAGAAGTGATCTTACATGTAAGTAGTGAGGCTATGGGCAGAACTTTGTGAGGAAACCATGTCTAGATTAGCAGACGACGTGCAGGGCACATGCTGCAGTGGCACAGGCATGTAAGAAATCTGGAACTGGAACTGCATGTAGGAGAGGGATGTAGCACAGCTATCTTGTGACGCAGCGTCTGAGTTGTGTGGTGGGACTGTGAGATTAGAGAGGTAAGTGTCCTACAATACCTGGTAAGCAATGGAAAGCCCTCCAGTGTCAGCTGTATTCTCCAACAGTGTAAAAGTACCATTGACCTTAAAGCCATAGCTTTCATACTGTTCAACCAAGCAGTCTATAGATTTCTGTAGTACACCCCTGTTGCATGTAGGACAGCCCTCAGGCAGCACTGTGGGAGAAAAAAAATCCTAAAAAGTAAAGGTTTTTCTGGCATTTACCTGTATTCCTCATATTAATTCCTTATTGAGTTGTCTTAGTAGTGAGTATGGCCTGTAGTGGGTTTTTCTTAGCTTCATCTACCTTAATAATATATGTGTACATTGATATAGGGACCAGGATTTAAGATCCCCTGAGAGAAAGTACCAGTGGGGACCTAGAAGAATAAACAAAGACACCACAGGAAGTACCCACCATAACCGTAGAATGTGTGAAGAAGTTCATGTGCCATGAAGACCCCAATGGCTCCGAAGTTCACAGCACTGAAAAATAAAGATGAAAGGAGTGCTTTTGAAAAGAAAAAGGGGGCAGGTGAGCATTCCTTATGGCTACTGAGCACAGCTGTGGGCTGCACAGAAGCATTCTACCTGGAGAGCACCCACAAGCACTGTCTCTCAGATGTGGTACACTGTAAAAATGCAAATACTAGTGTAAATTACTATACCAACGCTTAAAATTTTACTATGGGCTTGTATTAAAGTATTTATAGCTAAAAAGCCATCATAATAATAAAGAGTCTGTGAATGAGATTCTGACTTTAGGAATTCTAATGACATGCATTGTTGTTGAGATATGTCCTTATTTACTCACTACTGGCTGAACTGATGCAGAAACAGCAATGGCAATGGTAATCATACAAAAGCAGGATGGTTGGAGAAGCAATCTTGCAACAGTTCTCTAGTGAAAAATGATATACAAAACTGGCAAGGCAAATTAAAACCATGAAGATTTGACTACAATTACTTTTGACTAGCATTGGTGATCTTGCTACAAGCAAGAGGTTGTAATCATAGAATCACAGAATCATAGAATAGTTAGGGTTGGAAAGGAAACCTGAGATCATCTAGTTCCAACTAGCCAAGGGACTACATTCAGCTTCCACCTTTGCAGCCCCTTCATACCTGGGAAACTTTGTGTGGAAAAAAGGGCTGCGGAACATTCCAGCAGGAAAGACCACCATGTGGTGCCTTATTGAGTAGTATGAACGCACAGTCCAGGGGGACACATGCCAGCTAGAAGCAGAAAAAGAGAAATAAGAAAATGTATTAACTCCTTATCTCATCCCTCACTCTTTTCCTCCATTGGGCTTGAAGAAATGGTCTGCTCAGTACAGCTGTTCATGCAGCAGCATCAAATGGTGAAATTCACATATACTACAGTTAAAGGTGTTTGAAATAAACCTTCACTTGCTTACAGACGGTCAGAACTAGTAGCTTAGCTTTCATACACATTAAGGGATTCACCCTCACAACTTCCCTGCCAAGTAAGTCAGGATTCATAACTTCTTGTGAAGTCCTGCACAGAAACTCTCTAGGCAGTGTGAGGTCCTGAGCATGCCTGTGAACACTGGCTGCCTTATGAAGCATCATATGTTATGCCTCTGAGGTAATCCTGCCACCTTTCACGTCATCACAGTGCTTTGCTGTTCGCTTTGCTGCAAAATCCAAGACAACCAGCTAGCTCCCTAAATCAAGGGTTTATGGACAAAAATTGTTCTTTTTTTTTTTTCCAGGGGTCTGAGGCTCCCTCCACAATAGTGGGGTTTTTTGGCAGCATGAGCTCAGCTGGATGCAAGTCAGGCTGCCATATTCAAGAGTTTTTTTAAGCAGGTTGCAGCAATGCACTCTTACATTGAAGAAAGACAACAGCATCTTGTTTTGCATTAGGAGAAGTGTCGCTAGCAGCTTCTCTACTCAGGACTGGTAAAACCACATCAGGAAGTACTGCGTCCAGTTTAACACACACACACCCCCTCCACCTGCACTACTCTTCCTCGCAGTAAAAGAGAGAGATAGGCATACAATTGGACACAGTCCTGAGTGACCTATTCTAGCTGATCTTGCTTTGAGCAGGACAGTTGGACTAGGTGATCTCCACAGGTTCCTTCCCAACCTCATTTAGTCCACAGGTGTGTGATTCTGTTGTATTTTTTCAGATCGCTATCTGACACTTACTTATCCTGTGAGTGATGCTGAAGGAGTTTCAAGTAGGAATTTTCCCTCTGTACTTTCAAGCAAGCCACCACATTGAGGAAAAAGGTGTCTTCGTTTATCACCAGCTGAGGGAAGAGATAGGTAATGTGACTGTCATGGGGCATGACCAAGGAATTAATTGGACAGTATGAGAAAAAGTCCCATGGCTCAAAAAAGCGTTCGTCAAAAGACAGACCAACAGAATACTTGTGTTTTTATCTTTCCAAGTTCTAAAGACTTCAATTTAAGATATGACACGAATGTTATCTGCAGGCCAAACAGAACATACGAGCAAGTCACAACCAATCTCTATCAGGCCATCCACACTCTAAATATAGGCAACAATATGGAAGAAATACATGAAGGTTCTCTGGGCCCATATGTTCTCAGAAAATGTGCATTGGTACAGAGGTCATAGCCACTTTTAGGAGCAGACAAGATAGCAGTTGGTACAGGTAAACTGCCAATAATGAGGCAGGCATGTTTACATTCTATAGCTCACATTCTGGTATTCCACGTTCACTTTGTCAGTCTGGAGTATGTGAGCTGGATAGCCAATCTCCACTTGTAGTTTGGAAACCTAATAATAATAATAATAACAACAACAACAAGAAACATGAGCAATACAAGGCTTTACATTTTAGAAGTAGTTTTTAAACTCTGTTTCTAAACAACCTAAATGTGATCTGTGATTCAACCCTTCAAAATGACAGCTACTCTGTTTCAACAAGACACCTTCTCTTGCTACTTTGCTTTCTTAATTCAACGACCTAAGGACTAGTATTGTTCTAATCTTCTTTTTCTTTATAACATTATTTTCTGGAACTCACCTTCATAGTTTTTAACCTCTTTGGGTGTATTGAACCGAACTGTACCTCAATACAATTAAGTCAGAGTATCCAATGGACAAACAAACACTGAGCCTCTCTGTGCCTACACGTCAGTGTATAATCACATGTGCATGATGGCACTCATAGAACCATTTAAAATTCTCAGTGTGTATAAGACATCTATTTAAGATTGTGTGCCTGTAGAAGCAGGTAGGAATATGTGAACACAGAGTATGTCTGCAAAGATTTCAGGGAAAGCAAGGTCTCAGTAACTTTTGCCTTCTGCACGCACCAAGACTTTAGCCTTTTGACGAGTCTGTTCATCCATCCACTTCAACTGATCCAGTTGGTCATAAAGGGCATCTTGGATCTCAGAGAACATCTGCTCAGCCTGACATGAAGAAAAGAAGACATGGCCAGAACTGCAGAAAAACATTTTTCAGGCTTAACTACCATCTTTCTATGTTCCAACAATTCAACCACAGAATAATTGAGGGAAAATTCCTCTTCTTGTGATGAAAGAGGAGATTTCAGTTTCTACAATGATTTAGGCTTAAGTTATTTGGCATCCAGTGGTTCCTCACAGGGTTTATTATCCTCTCTCTCACACCTTTTCATCTTGCCTCTCATGGTAACTAAGAATGAAACATAATCCTTTTTCGTTCAATCCTTTATGGGATAGGAATGGACTAAGTGATTGCCCTACTTCTTGAGTAAAATTAGAATTCAGTATCCACAAGTATTTCATGCTGGTGTCTCCCTTTCCAAATTTATGGCAATCTGAGTGTCTCTTTCACAAAACTATCTTTTGATCATTCAGCTTTGTGCTTCACTACACGTAGTCTTAGTTTTCCATTAACTTTTGCTGCAGTTATTTACTCTTGTCAGTTTATACACTGCAAGCTCTTTATAAAACTTGGTGCCTGCACTAACTTCCCTCAAAGAAAAAGGAACTCTGGTCATCAAAGGAAAAAGAAAAATCCCACACTGCAGCTGGTGTTCCTTTTACTGTGGATCCACTCAGAATGTTTTGGCATTGATTTGTTTCTGTACAACTGGTCATACAATGCATTAATGCTTTGGGAATTGAAAGTCTTATTTAAATATGTCAGATTGGTGATGAATGCTGTTAGTACTGTCATTCCAGGAAGCACACCGAGATTGCATGCATTTGTAGGGCTGTCATAAGTATTGGTGCTGCACACATGACTTTGCTAGCAGTTGATATAAAGATAATAACTGGCATTTGGCAATGATTATTCTACCAATGACAGCAGTATCTGGCTCTGACATTTTTCATTCCCCGAAAAGGAGGGGAAGTGCGTAAGTACAGGAATATGTAAAAAGGTATAAAACCTACATATGATTTTGCTGCCTTGATGTGGTCTTAAGCTGGCATGTCAAAAAAAGAAAGATGGAGCTGGGCTCTGCTTGAGATTAATAGGATGAATACCTACAAGTGTCTTGGTCTGCTGAGGGAAAATTTCTTGCACAATCATCTGCCCTAGAACTGGCTCAAAGAAAGAGCTGGTATCAGTCAAGCACTTCCTCCAGCGCTCAGCTGGGATCTGTAAGAACAGAGAAAGAAATAGAGACACGTGTGAGTGAGGGCAGAGAGAGAGGAATACAGTAAAAAGATACGTAGACGTACAGTCCGTAACATACTTGCTGCTATCTAAAAATGACAGCAGTGAACGATAAGTAATGCAGCTCCATTTAAGCTATATCAGAAAAATTTAATCAAGTAAAACATTGATTTCCTTAAGATCTACTTCATTTATTTTCACACAAGATGAAGATTCATATGCTAGCTGAGACAAATACATAGAAGAAAGGTAACCATCTATATATTATTCCCTATCCCATGATACAGTGCATTTAACTCTCTGAAGTTTTTGTGTCTTGTCTACTCCCACATTTCTTTGAGAAATTTATGGCCTAGTGGGAGTAGTTTTCCTCCCCAAATCTAAGAAACATTCGTCCAGACAAAGCACTGAGAGAACATTCCCAAGGCATGTCATAGGGTGTTCAGCTGCTGGGGAGGCTGAATGAAGACAGTTAAAGGCTAACTCACCATTCTAGATCCCATTTTTCCATATAGAATCTTAGATAGTTCCAGGCGTGCATCTTGGAATCGACTGTCAAGGGCTGGGGAGAGATTCCCAACCAGACAAACAATCATATAAATGTGAAGGACCCTGTAGGAAAATGGCATTTAAAAGGACTGAAGATTGAAGGCTGGTTACTATAAGCACAAAGGTATGGCAAGGGTGAGAGTGGCAGAGGAACCCTAATAGCCTGAGTAATGACAACAAAGCATTCTGAATGGGCTACACCTTTGTCTATCAGAGGAGGATGATTTGACATGAGTCAACCAAAGAAACTCTCTCCCAGAACACCACGAAGACTCAAGGGTAATTGCCTGCTGTGGCACAGGATTCTTTATGGGAAGCAGGAGAAAGACTATTTTTAGGACTGGATAAAACTTGTTATAGATTTATTTTGAAAAGTCTGTGGGATTCTGTGAGACTTATTATGGGATGTTTGTGGGAAGGTCTAAAGGCTGGGAAAGGGAAGGATCATGGTGGACTAGGGAGAACACACATGGGAAAAGGGAGAAGAAAAGAGGTAAGAGGGAATGCTTGAGTGTAAACTTGTGGCTTGCCATGACATCTGTCTGACTGAGCCCTGCATGTGGTCACCAGAATCTGTCTTATCTTATTAAATGCTAGTCTTAAATAACATTCTACTCTCTGTGTGTGGGGATGGGGTACTAGAGACACAAGGAGTCTGAAAACTTACTGAAAGGACTTTGGTTCAAGCTAGCTGCTAGAGAGTACAGGAGTCTGAGAGCTGCCTAGTGGTTTGGACCAGCTACTGGAGAGATCTGCTCGTATGTGTGTGTTTCTAACAGGAAGAAACGAGACTATCAGCAACCAAAGTAGGGCTGCAAGACTCAGGGGCTCATATATCCAGGTGCCAGCAGCTGTGGACACCAGGGAATCTGGGGCTAGCTTCTGGACATATAGCTGGCCTGAATATCTAAGACCAGATATTGGAATGATCAACATTGTGTGTATGTGTATACATATATTTTGCTAGTATAGACCGATCCTGATCAGCTGGAAAGGAGAAGTAGGATCAGGCTGTCTGAGCTATTCATAATTGTATGAGGGATGGAGGTGGGGAGTGGGGGGAAAGGGGTATACCAGTGAAGGCACTGTGTTCTATCTCTGTTTATCTGTGTGACACATATAAATGTGTATACATACATATTGTGTGCACGTGCAAGTCTGTTGTGAATATATTCTAATCCTTATGACTGGCTAAACCTGTGGACATAAAGCCACAGCAGCCTTGCAATTGTTCAGCTACTGGATTCAGCAGACTCTCATGCAGACCTCTTTAATTTATGGTTAATATTCCTTAAGTCATGAACAACTACAACCATATAGATGGATTCCTACCTTTCCTTATGCCATTGTTCGATAAGCTGTGACATGCCTCTTATGTAATCCATGTCATGCACTGCAATTGGCTGAGACAGGTTCATCTGCATAGGATGGAAGACAGCCTGGAGACATGACAACCAGTCTATAGCAGGTGCCTTTTCCTAGAAGCAAAACAAAGCTTCCATGCTGAACTATGAATCTAAATTGACTGACAAGAAATAATAGGGAAATTGATACAGTCTCTTTAATACTCTTAAGAGATATTTTCAACAAGTTAAACTGTTTTTATGATGTATTGATTACAGTAGAAAAGGAGAATTGCCTTTTTTATTATTGAATTAGGACTGGGGAGGGGGGAGAGTTGTGTGCCTGAAAAATCCAACTACTGTCAATAAAAGACTGCAAGCTAATAGGTTATTTAAAGCTCAACAGTCTCCAAGTGTAAGTTGCAAGGGAATGGCATCTAAGCAGATTGTCTCATATCTCTTCTGATCTGGATCTTCAGAATGTGAATGTCGTGTTATTGTGCTGCTCAAGTTCTAAGGCATAGATACCTGTAGCTCCCTAATGGTAGTGTGGAAGAACAGCATCCCTCTCTGCTGTCTTTCCTGCAGCGGGGTGACGACTTGCTGGAGGTTAGAGATGAAGGACAAGGTAAGGGAAAACAAATCCGAGGGACCATCCTGTGGCCCTCCAAGTAGGCCCCCCAGTTTATTCAAATATGAGAGATACACACGGAGAACCTGCAATACAGAGCATACGACCAGTGGGAGAAACATGACTGAAAATTAATCAACCTATTCATCCATCCATTCAATCATCCATCTTGACCATATATGTTTCAATCTTTCAAAAACACTGAAGTCCCAGCCCTAAAACTGTCTTCTGCACTGTCTTATGTAGTTCTTCAGGTGGAAGAGTTTGCCAAGTAGAGCTCCTCTTCCAGTGAGGAACCCTGAATTCCCAAAAGGCTATTTTTGTCCCAGTTTAAAGTAACATTAAATATCAGAATCATTTTAGAGAGGTAGAACTGCCATGTCTGGAGTAAAGGGGGAGAGATGTAGTGCTATAACGAACCAGTAATTTCACGGAAAGAAAATGCCAGCTTCTTGCTTCTGTGGTCATGAGGTACCAAAGGAATGCTTGTGATGGGTAGACAGACTGATTTTTTTGAGGACTCTTCTGAAAGAGTCAGACTGAGAAACTGAAATCACCTCAGTTTCTTTATGAAGTTCACACAAATGACAGAGCCCTGATGAAATTAACTTTGTTGCCGTGACTCCCAGCATCCAAGACCTTGTTTCCCCAGCTTAGCTTAAAATGTTTTAAAATAACTTTTAAAATGTTAGCTACCCCTCCACCAATATACAGATTTGAAGTTATAAAGCCTTACTTTGGATATGAACATTCAAGGGGAAACCTAGAGGGAAGCCCAGGTTCGTATTTCTTAGCAAATGCAAATAAAAACGATAATATTCTGTTTCTACACTAGAAGTTTTAAACCTTGCATCTAAAAATGGGTTACATTTTACAAACTATCTTTTTTGAGAAGTAAAGAGTTTTGTAAATAATTCCTTCTGAAGATATTTTCTGAGGTCACTGACCGTAAACCATGGGAACAGACCGCTCTGACCCAGGAGGCAATTCAAGGAGATGCCTACACCAAATAGCTACTTTTACCTTTCTTCAGCCTCTGATATGTTACCTCAAGATAATTTTTCTCTTTGAATTTGCTCTCAGGTGGCATCTCAAACTCAGGATGGTCAATCTGCAAAAAGAAGCAAAGCAAAAACATTTCACTATTTCCAGAAACACTGGGAATGTGAGGATGTGCTCAACAGGCATTGTTAATTTTTGAATCTGAAACGTTAATAAATTGTTTTCACTTTTGGAAAAAGTTTGCTCTGTTATTTTTTGGATCTATCATGTTCTACAGTTCATTTACAAATCTGCAGTGACTGAGAGTCACATGTAAACCACATTTTTAAGTATTTCTGCATGGGGCACTGGTTTTGGCTGGGATAGAGTCAAATTTCTTCGTAGGAGCATGTATGAGGCTGTGTTTTGGATTTGTGCTTAAAATAATTAGTGTTGATAATAAAGGGATGTTTTAATTATTGCTGAGCAGCGCTAACACAGTGTCAAGGCCTTTTCTGCTCCTCATACCCCCCTGCCAGCCCACAGGCTGTGTGTGCCAGAAGCTGGAAGGGGCACAGTTGGGACAGCTGAAGCCATCAAAGCAAAGGTGTATTCCATACCATATGACGTCCTGTTTAACAATGAAAGTGGGGGTTGAAGGAGGTTGTCAAAGGTTGGCAGTGAGCAATTAAGGGGTTTTTTGCATCATTCTTTTTTTAAATTTTCTTTTTCCTTTCTTTTAAATTATTAAAATGTCTTTTTATCAACCCGTGAGTTTTCACATTTCTACTCTTCTGATTTCCTGCAAAATTCATGATACACTATGCACTTATTGTCCATTATCATACTAGTCATATCTCAAGCAGAAGAACAACTAGACCCTTTCACAATGAAGTACATTCTACACTGTCAGGCAAAAGAGATGAGAGAAAGTAAGCAATTTCTTCTTCCTCACATGCTCATTTTCCAGAAATAAGTGCTTTTTACATAATAAAATCAAGAAGCTTACTGAAATTTAGGAAAACTTTCTTCAGAGAACATAGGCTTAACTTCAGCAAGCCTGGGCCTCATGGGCTGTGCAACTGACTCCTTATTCCCAGTAGATAATTCTCTTTCTTTAGTCCACTTACCTGAATAATATTGGTCTTGAGGTCAAAAGGACTAGGTCCCACAAGGACTCTGAAGAAGGGAAAGGTGCTGTATCTGCCCATGAGAGTCTGAAGAGTTTCATTAAAATCTTTTGCTTTTCCCACACCTGTGATATTCCATCCACCAATCTAGAGAAGGAGGGAGAGACCAAGACAGCAGGTGAGAAAAAATACTTGCTTGATCCATCTTTACCAAATCTTTCTTTTCACTCCTATGAGCTCAGTCGTGATGACAACTGAGAGACAGCAAAGCAGAGAGCAACAGGGGAAACTCATGAAGAGTTCTACATACCCTGTTGTCTTTAAGGTGACCTGTTACTTTCACTTAAGCAGGGCAACAAACTTAAAAATGACACAGGGAAAAGGAACTATCAACACAGCAAGGTGTATAGGAAAGCAGGAGAAGAAAGAGAGGAAAGAGGATCCTATTGAAACTAAGCTTCTCAGATTTTAAGTGATCCCTCTTCACAGTCTTGGTGGTTGTACAGTCCTAAAGAGATAGGTAAGGACGTGAGAAGAAATTTGGGTACTTGATGTTAGAAAATCAGATCTTGAAACAGTATTTAAATATAGAAGGTTCATCAGTTAGTTGTGCTGTGAAGCATGAGTTTATTTCCAGGCTGGACACTAACAAAATTCCATCATGAAGGACCATATGACCCTAGCTTCACACTTGCCTTTTCCCTGCAAGCATCTGGGGGGAAAAGAAACAGCACAAACATTCACCTGATTTAGGAGGTCCTTCAACGGCTGAGTTCCTTGGGATTCTATCTTTTGGGTATCCATGCAGGAGCGATAGAACTGGATTGCTTTCTCCTTAGCTGAGCCTCTTATCCCAAACTGTGGCTCCTCTTAGGAAAAAAAAAAAGAAATAATCAAAAACTACAAAAGTGATTAAAAAAATGTTGGAGCAGTATTAGAGCAGAGAAAGGTTGTAAGAAAATACTACACTGCACTTTGATTCAGAATAATTTAGTAAACACATCCATACTTCCCACAGTCACTCAAAGCAAGTGCCATGACCCTTCCTGAAGCCAAATACATGAGTTTCTTTGCACAGAAAGAGGAGCACAACAGGAAGGTGGTGTGTAAGTGGGATTCACTCCCACATGGAGTCAGGATGTAAGACCAGAGTGCATGTTCAGACAAGCACAGCAACAAAGGTCTGTTTCTACAAGGCAACAGTAAAATAGTTTGGGTTGCCATCAGAACTTCACAGTGTGACTTTCATCTGTTACACTTGGCAAGTGGAACTGAAATGCTTAAAATACAGCTATGGTAGTATGACATGCTTAAGAATAAATCTGTACCTCTAATGACAGAAGAACGAAAAGACTGGACACAGACCCTCTAAGGAGTGATTGTGCTCTCAATTACTGGTATTGTCAGCTCTGACTGAGGCAAATGCTGAACATAGCACACCACTCATCTGTCCCTACCTAAAAGTCTTTTCAGGATCAACTGGTTTTCTTCCATCAACACATCAAATACATTTAGTGATTCTTCTGTGGCTCTGCTTGAGTGTTTGCCTTCCCAGCTGCCACAAGCATATTTGTAGAAATCCTCACAGGGGTCCACAGTGTCATTCCTAGAATTCAGGAGTCTGGCCAACAGTGTAAGACCCAGCTCGACATCACAGGATCCTGGGCAGGAAGTAAATAGGAGAGAACTAAGTAGTAACAGTGGACAGTGAGAACAGCTCCAAAAACCAACAACAACAACAGAAATGAGTTCTCTGCGGGATATTTCCCACCAGAGATTTCTGTTTGGTAAAAACTCCTTTGCATGCAGAGTGTTAAATTCTTTGTAAGTTTTTGATGACGGCAGAACAAAGTGTGTTTTGTCTTTCACTTCACAGGAAGATTGCATTTACACTTTGTAAGTAAGATTACTTAAATAAAGGACAGGTAATCAGTCCAGAGGTAGTGTCCTCTCTTCATATTATCTAGGCAGCCACAGGCTGGATTATTCTGCCTTCTCAGTGTGTTTTCTCCGAATCAGACAATTTTGGCCAAATGATAAACAAGAAGCAATTAAAAGTGTGAACATATGAAGCAGAAGAAGGACATAGCACCGAGGAGGTAAGGGCGTAGGTTGAAAACATGGAGGCAGATGTCCAAGCATGGGAAACATTTCTCAGCAATGACATTTGTTAGAACAGAACAAAGACTTTCTAGTACATCTTGCTTTGATCTAAAACTCCCTTTATCTAAACTGATGCAAATCATCGGGCATGTGTTCTCATTTGGTTCAGTATCTTGTATCAACATCAGATCAGATCAATTATTTACTGAAACAAGCCACCCGTAAATCAAAGACTTTCCATACTATGGGTTCAACAGTTGACATGGGAAGAGGCAGGCAGAGTGGAAATAGCCAAAATCTAAACTAACAGTTTTTCCTTGGTCTCTGTAATGAACGGTCTCCAACAGAGGGGATAAAGAAAAATGCTAGGTAAAGAGTCAGTAATGTTTATTTTGGAGCAGCAAATGTCTGTATCCACCAATATGAATGCACATTCAGTACTGAGCATTCTATACATATAAACATTTACACAGTCCATTCTGCAGAGAGTTGTTTAACAAATTTGAAAGGCAAATTAATGTTTCTGGTCCATGCTTAGAGCTCCCCTCCTCAGCAAAAGACCATGACTTTTCTTTCTAGACTATAACTGTACTGGTCTGTGCTAGAAAAATAGGATCAGACTTATGGTCTGGTCAGATGTGGAAAGACGGAAAAGATGCTCCAAATCTCAGATTCAGACCAGTTTCCTGGAGGTGACTACAACAGGGCATGATGTGATGTAAGATGCAAGACAATGCTCTCCCAAAACTGGGCCCACACATATTAAATGGCAGGCAAAGGAGGAGGAGGGGTGTAGGGATCTCTTTCCACAGAGGGAAAGGGACAGGCAGAACAGCATATCTTTTTAACAACCAGTGTTATGATACTTTGAGTATCTGAAAATCTGATTCTCAACACAGATGCTAAGCCTAATACACAACGGAGGCAGGCAGGAGAGAAAGGGGTCTTACAGTTGGGGTGGATGATGAAGCAGGGAAAAGGATATCCTGTATTATACCTAGACCACAAGTCATCACGATGTAGGTGATAAGCATTGTAAAGCCAAGGAGAGTACTGAGAAGAAGTGTACACAGAAGTAAGCATTTTCTCTGAAGGCATCGTTCTTTCTCTGCACTCGTTCTCAGCTCCTGGTCACAGGTCTGAAGAGAGAAAAATAAGACAAACAGAATAAATTAAAAAAGAAAAATTCATATTAAAGTTATCACTGGTCATATACTCTATCTATTAGAAAATAACTAATCTATTAGAAAATAACTCACAGGACTAGTGCCAGAATACGAACAGTCATCCAAGTCATCTAGGTGACTATTCCCCCAGGAACTTTCTCACTTCCTTTGTTTCCCTGTTATTTTCAGCTAAAGCTGTTGCACAGTGTTATGAATTATGCATCAGTAATGCAGCTTGGCAGCTGTCCCTCCATACCTCTTTCTGGTTTATGGAATCACCTTGCATACACCTCCTGAAGATACCAAAGCCTTTTTGAGCCCATAAAGCTGGTAACAGGATGGCTAAGACTGGTGGTTCCTTATTTTATCAGGGTCTGGCGCAATTACAGTTTGCTTATTTCAAATGCTGCAGCTAAACTCTGTTTGTCACCGCACTCAGTATCTATCTGCTTTGCCACAAAACCAGAAGACATAGATCTTTACAAAAATCACAAGAAAAATGAAGCAAAATCCTACAAGATTTAAGTACCTCAGAGCGTGCAATGAATGAGTCTGCTGTTAATCATCTTGCTTAAGATACTATATACAATTCCTGTATAAAAATACTAACAGGACAGAAAACACAGAAAGAAATAGAAAAACAGACTTCATTTTATATCTTTCAAACACACATTTTATTCAGTCATTAACAGAAGCCTCTCAAAAGCATATGTCAGCTGACTTGACTCATGGAAACTGCTAACAAGGGTTAAATGCCTGCTTTTCTCCTTTAAAATCCTATTCTCTTGACTTCTTTAGGCAGGATACAGAGTAAATAAATGGAGAGCAAGTAGATACAAGTGAAACTTGTTATTAAAAGGTGCTAATAGAGAACATGATCATACTGGCAAAGTACAGCATAGGAAATACAAAGGAGGAAATTCCAAATTCCTTTTGTACACACCCGAGGTAAAACACTTTAGCTTTTACCCCTCAAGCAGAGAATAAGTGCCACAACCTATCAGTATGGCAGGGAAGTGAGCAACAGAAAATTAGTTTGGCTGAAATGGAAGAAGAAAAAGTATTCTTCAATGCACAAGCTCTCATCTCTCACCATGTAGGAGATGGTGAATGATCTACATTCACAATGTAAATGTTACATACAAAACTTTTACTTATCTCTATTGTTCTTGAATGTTTTGTACATATTAGCAAGACTGAGGAAACAATCCAGTTTGGTGCAATTTATCTGTAAAAATACAATTAACATTTTACTAGTTACTTATATAAGACATCAAATTAGGAAAAGGACACCATACTACATGGCAACCAGTTAGGCTTACTATGCCATTTTCACATTCAGAAAACTATGTCATGTTTACCCACTACTATTTGGGGGAGGCGAAATTGCATGTTTCTGCGTAAGTAACTACTTGTCATTTGTTGAAAAATGAAAATTATTATTATTATTATTGTTGATGATGATGACAATGTTGTTGTTACTTATTGGTCAGTGCTTCGAACAGATCTGAATACAGCCTCAGAATGACTATTTGGATGACTAACAGGAAGGGTAAAAACTCCTAAACCCTCCCATCATGTTCCACATCATTAGTTCTGAAACTGGGACAAGCCCTTTCTGGATCCAACCTGTCAAAACCTCAACTGCTCTGGCTCCCTCAGGCAATAAGCAGTGTAGCTGTGGCAGCAGAAGAAAAAGAGAGGGGTGCAACAAAGGTACCTCAGCAGACTATAAGATAGACCCATTTCCTTACCTCTGGAATAGTCCTCATCCTTGTCACTGAGCAGGTTTTGCTCCTGTGGTTACCACACTTGTCAACTGTTTACTTGTTTACTATCAGTCTTCTGTACCAAGACACACTAGTAAGGTCAGAGACAATCTTTTGTTCCCAGCTTGGCTGATTGCTGTGGAGAGGAGAAAAGAGAGGAAAAGCTCTGAAAAAAACGCCCTTAAAGAAAATGTGAGGGAGGGAAAGGAATACATTTCTGCAACTCTCCACCCACCTTCTCTTCTTAACACCTCTATTTCTCATAGAACTATATTTTTTTGTTCCCTTCTGCCTCTCCCAGAGTCTTTTTGTCTCTTGGAGCTGCACTGAAATCTTGTTGAACAGAAGTATGTGATTCTCTATCTCCTCCAGCCTCAACTATTTGCTGCTTCTTTACTCTGCAACTGCCTTACCATCCTGCCCACCCAAGAAGCCTGTTTTGGGCTGATACTCTCACTGCTAGTAGCTTGTTTCAACCTGCTGCTCTGGGGCCCAGAGACCTCTGCCTAGTGCAAGATAGTGTGGGTTATGAATCTGAGTGCTCCTCCTCAGGCAAAGGAAGGCCAATATGCTGACTTTCTTTTTGCTCTCACTCATCTGCATACAAAATCCGTACAAAAGGTGAACACAAATGCACTTCTGATTCTTTTTCTTTTGCATTAAGGCGGAGAAAAGAGATAATTCATTACTGATTATATTTACAGTTGTTTGGAGAGATGCATATTGGAAAGATTTGGGACAGCAGTTTCTCTGCTTTGAAGACTGGGAACCAGGATCACTTCCTTGAGGCATTAAAACTGAGTAGTGAACACTGGGAGTTGAGACCTTCTCAGGTGGCAGCTGGGAGCTGAAAGAGATCATTGAAACATAGAACAGTTTGGGTTGGAAGGGATCTTGAAGATCATCTTGTTCCATCCCCCCTGCCATGGGCAGGGGCACCTTCCACTAGAGCAGGTTGCTCCAAGCCTCTGTGTCCAACCTGGCCTTGAACACTGCCAGGGATGGGGCAGCCACAGCTTCCCTGGACAACCTGTGCCAGCGCCTCAGCACCCTCACAGTGTTGGTGTCAGCTTCCAAAATGACTGAAACAAGCAGAATACTGGGACAGAACTGTTTACATCCCTACCTTGCTAGTCTATCAGAGGAATACGATGTCTTGGTTCACTAGTCTGAATATAATTACGTATCTGTTTAGTTGTTCAGAGCTTCCCAAATCTTTGCTCTTTCTCCTAAAGTTCAGATCTTCTTCTCATGTTCATGAGGGGTTTTTTTCCTATTCCTGTAATGCTTGCATAATTTCTTAACATCTTTGATTATACTGTGACAACAGACTTCTTACATAGCTGAAACAACTTACATCCAGTTCTTTCTGCTTCTCGGGTCACCGGTAGCTATATATTTCTACATTTACCAAACAGCACTGAGTATTGTAAAAAAAGGTCCTTGTGTACTGCAAAAAAAGTCCTTGCTTTCCTTGCAATAGGTCACTTTCCTTCAGCTTAACATCAGAATCCAATTTGCAGATACTTCTTGCATAAATGGTTCAGATTCCACTTAGTGGAAGTAACAAGATACTCTTGGTAGTCACAACTCTCACATCACTGGGAGGAGCATTACTGTGATCCCTCCTGTCTAACAGTTCATTGTGGCCTAAATTAATCTACAGCTAGTCAAATCCCAAATCTTTGTGCAAACTGCAAGATGGGAATATGTAACAAAATTCATCCCTTATAATCCTTTGTTTTAACATAGCTTTAAGTATTCCATGTGTTTCTGCCACATTTGTCTTTGAGCCATTTCCACTCTTCCCTGCTTTACACCTTTTTTCACAATAGCTACAGTTCTAGTACTCTTTCACAAAAGCTTTTCAGTAATTGCACTGATAATGTAACAAATAAATGGTATGCAAATGTGTGTGGCAACCTGACGAGGTTTAACTATAAGTAATCTTACAGTGAAGATGCTGACTAGACAAATTTGTTCATGACAATATTCAGTTTATTTATCCATCTTATCAGACAGACTCTTCCATCTTTGCAATTACAGCACCCAACAGCTCCCAAGCTTAAAATAATGAAGCTAAATTTATTTCTGGTTTTCTAACAAATACTACATAGGCTTTAAAATTTCTCTGGCCAAGGAATTCATTGCCTTTTTGTTTATAAAACAGCTATGATCATTTTGAACACAATGCAACTTACATTAAAGGAAGTAATAAAACCTTGACTGAGGTGTTCAATTTTAAAGTGAAACTTGAGAAGACCAAAAAAGCCTTTTGGTCAATATGATGATGGTATATTATTGGAGTCAACATGGTTTCCTGAGCCAGTATCTGTTAAACAAGTCTTCTACCTCCTCTGGATTGAATGTAATTTTGCCACATAATTTGATGCTCCGTATGGATTGTCACACACTATCTAAAATTACTGTGAATTTGTATATATGGACCACTTGTTCAAGACCTCATGAGCTAATCAGAACACATCTTGAAAAGTATTTGGATCACATTCTCATTAAGAGCATGATAGTATGTTTCAAGAAATGAAGCGCACATCACTTTCTGAGTGAAAAGCATGGGTCTTTGAATTAGTAAATATTTCAGTGGTGGTGTGATACTGAGAAGGCTTTCTTGAAAGATCTGGCATGGATGGGATATTCTCTCTCCTAATTCACCACAGACCATAATAACATTATATACTGGATCTAACAGACACTACTGTTCGTTTCCATTGTGACAGTATATTACCGAATATCATTCTGCTGCAACAGAGTCTTGTTAAATAATTCAGGAGGAAAGTTGAACTGTTAAGGTGATAATCAAGGTGTTAAAACTTTTTTATTCCAAAATTCATGTCCCTTTTTGGAAAGGATGTGGATTTATTTCATATAGTGCTCTCTCTGTGCTTGTGCTCTGAAAGATCCAGGTATAAGATATATTTTATCCAAAATCATATATCCCACACTTCAGAAAAATCTGTCTGGCTGCAGCCATTAGCTGTAGCTGGGTAATTCGGATGCTGTAGTTATGCACCTTTTCAAGCAGAGTTTCTTCCATCTTTCAGAGTAAGGACACAGAACGTGTGGTACCAGTGGCATCTGGCACCACTAAGCCAGGGAAGTGTATATAACATTTTCCAAACTACCAACTGGATATGGAAGTTTTCTTCAGGTTAGGTGCCACAGGACAGTGTAATGCCTGTATGTGTCTTTAAGCCTTGAAAAGGGTCTACCTTGGAGGGGATTGCATTATGACGGTGTGAGATCTGACATCTTATTGAATATAGAGCTTGTAGAGTTTTGGAGATCTTGTGAAGTATGTGAAGTATTCATGTATGTAAGAATAGGGTGCTGTATACGTGCAGTTGTTTTTTTCCTGCTAGCACAGAAGTTTCTTTGAAGACTCCATTATCAGCTAGAGAAAATGAAGACAAAAAGTTTCCCTGTAAACTTTTTCTAACTACAGAAGCAGGAAGAGGGTGTTTGTGGGGGAGACGTCACAAGTAATCCTTATCGACTGATTCTTTTCTTATCTTTCAGGCACAGATGACAGCTCTGCTCTCCTGAGCCCACAAATTAGTGGAAGGACCTCTGGCTTTTTTCTCTGTGACAGACGTTCTCTTCTCTATATAGTGCATCAGCTTTTCCAAATGTAATACTGATCAGCACATTGAACAGAATACAGTGTTTGACGTGTCTTCCAGCTATCACACATAAAAAGGTTCAATAGCAATTATCTTTTAGATTTAAACAGTCATATAGATTCAAAGAATGTGGAATTAAGTGTATTGATGTGTGTTTGACAGATACTGTTGCAAGCATTTCTTATGCATTCAAGATGGTTAGGAATATATGCAGATTTCAGAAACATATTTCCTTAACATCTGTCCTGAAGTGAAATTGAATTGGGACTTTGATCTTCTACATTGTGTGAATAGTAAATCCTCCTGCAACAGTATGGTAGAGTGAAGTTTTGCTTCAAAGATTGATATTTCAGCTTCAACTTTCAAAAAATATGTATGTATCATAAACTATACAAAAAATTGCCAGCTTTATGTAATTAAATGTAATTAAACGAAAAAAGGAGCATTGGAAAACCACGATGCAGCAATATTAATGTCACTGGCCATCTTGAAAACTCATGTGGAAAGTTATCCTTTACAAAGAGACTATACTTCATTTTGAAAATAAACTTTTCTAACTTAAGCTTTTGTACCTCCAATGGTCACTGATGGTACCACCAGTGATCAGTGTGATCTGTGGATTAAAGCAACATGAAAGAAGTTCTCATTGATATGAAAGACTGCCTGCCAAAGGTTAGTAATAGTTTTAGTAACCATCAAAAGCACAAATTTGTTTCAAAAAATCAGGAGACTGTAGTACTGTGAGAGCTTGTTGCTTTACTAGAGAAGTTCAGAGAACCTGTGGCAGGATAACCTGAAAGCCATTACTTTTTCCATTGTGGGTGTGAGGACTGATGGCAGGATAAATTCAGTTTAAAAAGCCCAAAATCAGAGCTGACAGTCAGGGATCTAGCAGTGTTCTAACTGCCCCATAGGTGACATAGAGATATCCCTCTGTGGCTGAAATGGTCTCAGAGACACTTAGTCACTCACTCAGATGGAAACTTTTCACCACCTTTTTTCCCCACCAAATACTCGGTCTCTCCATCTATTTTCAGCCCATCAGGTACATAGAATCATAGAGTCACAGAATGGTTTGGGTTGGAAGGGAACTTTTGAAGATCATCTAGTCTGGCCCCCCTGCCATGATCAGGGGCATCTTTCACTAGATCAGGTTGCTTAAAGTCCCATCCAACCTGACGTGAACACTTCCAGTGATGAGACATCCACAACTTCCCTGGGCAACCTGTTCTTCCAGCTTTTTTGGGACACTTGTTCAACATCTTTATTTAGGAAAAGGGACAGAAAAGTCCCTGATTCTTCTAACTGCTAACATCAGGCAAAAGATTTTAGGTTCACAGTCAGGAAGAAGGAGAAAGACCA